AGTTATCCTAATTCTAATGCTCAAAGACATGGTATTACATCTTGTACCCTTATCTATTCATAAGACAACCGCTTTTTCACAATTTTATTCAATATTTCAATAGTAGTGACTGTTATTGGAGAGCTTTGACTGCTTCCGTCAAATTGCATTTCGATAAGGTCTTTTCCGATTGGTTCAAGTGACCATTAAATATTTGGTTGGTGAAAATCTACTATCAGAATCCTACGTCGATTTTTAACTGCAGCTCTGCTTTTTATGTTACGAAATAGCTTTTTCCGGCTTACTAGTTCAGGAAACTTCAGCTAGTGTTACAGAATTAAATGCATGGCAAGAGTGACATTACTTAGAAGGTGATTTTCGTCGATAACTAAACAGGTTAGCTTTAGTGGGAGGATACCGCAGAAAAAAGTCAAAAAATAACCAACGCGGATACGTAGTAATAGGGCGTCAGCACTTTAAGAGATGAGGATATATCACTTTTGATATCGAAATTCTCCTCCGCATACAGAATTTTTGAAAATATACATTTCATTTTGCCCCGAACAAAATAAGAAATTACGAAGGATCTGCATGCACTCGTGAAGCCTCGGTAGCCTTTCGAAGGCACATCGTAAATTAAAATAATACGGAAAACTCCGATATTGCTGTAAGCGCATTCACGTTTGATCTGATCGAGGTGCAGGACCAGTTTTGTTTAGGCTTGATTAATTTTGAGGAACCTAATATCTCAGTAGTCGTTGGTGTATAAGTTACTAGAAAAAACTGCTTGCTTTCAAGATCTATATGCCGTATAAAGGAAAGTCCCAATTTTGTGAGCACCCTGTATGCAGGAATACTAATACTAGTACTTGCAAGTACTTTTTGCTGCTGTGTATGCTTCTCAGGGGTGTCAACCCGTAGATAGCTGTTGGAATTGAGTGTTAGGAGGAGTTCGTAGCGTTGTTTACAAAGTCAAGAGTGATATACAGGGTGTAAAGTTAGTAGCGGATCAACGGAAGTCAGGTGATAGAGCGCCTCAATATATATCGAATGAACCCCGAATATCCGAAATTTTATAGTTCTGGAGTTATTTGCAATTTTGTGAATTTTCGAAAAAAACTTATCAGTTGGACTTTCAATCGCAATTACAAATAAACCATTAGGTTTAGGGTTGTGATTTTTATTGCGATGAGCTAAATGGTTCGGTCTAGCAATGGTTATGCCACTTTTTAACAGAGCTAATTAGAAATCAACGCAAAAAACCTTAAATTCATCTTTGTGAGAAAACTTTTCCATCCCTCAACTTTGGAGGGCGGTAAAAAAAAGGTGAGGATGTATTTCATTATTCATTTTATTGTGAAAACTATTTCAATCCATGTAGAATAAACCCTGAACATTTCATCTTGCTACGATAAGTGCCTCACCTTAAAAAATCTGTATGTTTGGCGCAGGTGGGTATCTATACATGTAAACGAGAAATTCTATTTTACGAGCTACAGTCCAAATGACTTGATGGATTTTGACATATGAGGTGCTGTTAGATTCGTTCTAGCAGTGCGAGTGATACTGTGTGTATTAAAATTTGGCAAAATCAAAACGGCGGATGTTTTACGCAAATAGCCAAATCAGCTTAATTAGCTTGGGCTTTCGACTCGGCATTCCAGGTGCGGGAGCGTCCAATGTTCGGCCCGACCGAAATTACTAACTCAGGCAATGGCCCAGCGCGGAATATGTATCTAACGTTTGGCATTTGAGTAGAATTATGTCATATTCTCCGCGAGATTATCCAGAAATGTATTACTATGATGGTGCTGCCCTAGGAAATGCTCGAGCAGCTGTTCGCTTGTATCGGGAGTATGTGGTTAGAAGAGGTGGACCTCGATCGGCGGTATATCCCATATACCGCGTTTTTCTACGCACTCGTCGACAATTTGGAGGGCCCAGGATACGCCCAGAAGAAATAGAAGATATAATAGAAGCAGTCGAGAGAGATCCCTTTATAAGCACCAGAGCCACTGCCCGGATCAGAAACATCCCATACTTCAGTGCACACAATACTACGCTCGAAGAACAGGTATCCTGACCATGTGCATAAAATACAACAATTGCTTCCAAGCGACTATGCACAACGCGTTGAATTTTGTGAGAATATGTTGATAAGGTACGAAGAGGATCAAACTTTTTTCGACAACATCTTATGGACAGATGAATCCAACTTTAACCGAAATATTCAGCATTTACAATTTCCATTCATGGAGCGTGGAAAATCCATACGCTATTCGCCGACCCAGCTTTCAACGTCAGTTTGGCGTTAATTTATGGGCTAGAGTACCCAACAAAAAAATAATTGGACCATATGAGTTGCCCGCCAGGTTGAATGAGCTGCTAGAGCGCTTGTGTATAGAAAATAATGGAGGCCATTTCGAACATGTTCTTTAAAAGTTAGTTAAATTATCTTCTAAATTTGTCGGTAGATCGCCATAAAGAGCGGCTAAACACAATAGGCTCTGTACTTGTGGGCGGTAAGGATCCTATTGCGTTTCTTACGTTTATCGCATTAGGACATGATACACTCATCGTAGCAAGCTGAAATTTTCAGGGTTTATTCGAATTACAATTAAATGAATATGAAATACAACCTCAATTTTTTTTACCGCCCTCTAAAGTTGAGCGATGGAAGAGATTTTTCACAAATAAATGAATTTAATATTTTTTGCGTTGATTTCTGATAAGCTCTGTTAAAAAGTGACATAGCCATTGCTAAAAATAACCAGTTAACTCATCTCACTGCTCTAAACCTAATGGTTTAGTTGTAATTGCGATTGAAGGTTCATTTTCTCGTTTTTTTTCGAAATTTCACAAACTGCAAATATCTCCTGAACTATAAAATTTCGTACCACACATATAGGGGTTCATTCGATAGATCTTGAAGACCTCTATCACCTGACTTCTGTTGATCCACTACTAACTTTACACATTGCATCTACCATTATGGAAAAGGAGGCGACAGTATAAACGCGTGAGAAGACAGTATCTGACTTCATTTCTTAACGAATTTACGTGATTATAATAAATCAATGAGTAACATAAAACAAATTACTAGCATGTCAATGACCTGTCCATAAGCGCTGCAGGAATCCCCATTACAAATTAAAGGTTACAGCAATATAGTGAATTGTTTGATGTGAGAAGATCATCTACGCGATCCATAATGTCAAGAACGGCGGCGCTGCAGACATCGTTGGAAAAAGTTTCGATCGTTCAACTTTGGAATACAATTCAACTGAACGGTGAACGTTTTATGAAAGGTCATCGCGAACGACGGATGAAGTGTTATTAACGTTTGCACATTCATTTTTTCAGACAACTGTATTTTTACTATTTGCATATTATAAGAGTGCCCGCTATGCCAAACGTGGCCCGCTTCTGGATTAGGTGAATGATTGGTCAAGTGTTGCGAAATATGTTTTGATTGTTTGAAGGTGCTTGGACAACGGTGGAATTTACATACTTAATGGAAGGGAGACCAATAGGGGATTTTGAGATTTACTTGAGCCCTGCAGATTGATATGAGGAGAGATACCTTGCATCCTGTTGAGCACCGCCACTATACAGGTATCCACAAAGCTAATGTGTGGTGAAACGTGAGCGAACAAGTAAAGAAAAAATAAATTAAAAAGTACTCACTGTTCAGTTAAATTGAAATTCCAAGTACGACTCTGTCGTAAAATCAGTATTTACATCATAGTCGTACGTCGTATAACTGTACGCCGGCGCTGGCGCTGTGGACGTGATCGAGAGATAGGACAGGACCGGCTTCGGTTTGGTTCAGGTTTGATTGAGTTTTCGGAGCCCAATATCTCGGTTCTCTTAAGACATTGGTGTATATGCTACTAAGAAAATCCGCTTATTTTCTCAAGATCTGCACGTCGTTTTAACCCTAGGTTAGTCGCGTCTCTTATCCGCACATTATTAGTCGCGTGGGTGACAAGTTAAATAAGAAACAAGATATTCTCTATAAGCGTTGACATAAAATGTAGGTTGATTTTAACAACAAAATATATTTAAAACATAAGATAACTGTGAATTACTACTTCAGTCGTTGTTTTCATAACATCGCACACAAATTTCTTTTAGGTGGTCATTGCAAGCAAAATTTTGACACTGCGCGCAAAGTTTTCTAGTTGTTTTATCTCGTGCTCTTCCGCAGTAGTAACAGCGCCCTCTTGCTGCTCTTCGATCTCTTTGTTCAACTACAGAAGTTGAGGGTTCCAAACCCAGCAATACCATTGACCTGCGGCGAAGTTCCCGTGGAATTTGTGAAATGTAAGCTCTTTATTTGTGGTGTGAACATATCCCATGCTAAGCTTTGCAAGAATTCAGTTCGGCGTAATTTTCCCTCGATTTGTTTGTTGAGCTTATAAATTATCATAGCACTTACAGTGGAAACATTTAATAAATTATAAAATACAACCATAGGCCAACGTCTCGTATTTCTTGCTACATTATTTTTTTGGCATATTTGGTCTACTAAATCTACTCCAATCTTGGTACTGTTGTAAAATGTTATAATATCCGGCTTTTGATATTCTCCTGTGTCTTCACTGATTGCACTATCGTGATGCATGGTAGAAACTGCTAGAACTGCTTTATTCTTTTGTGGACAGTAAGAAACAATTGTACAGTTTTCCTGGAATCCAAAAATTGAAGTAAATTTATCCCGGTCTTTTTGGGGAAGAAACTCCTCAGGAATTTCTCTTTTATTTTTTCTGAGAGTACCTACGTATGTTAATTTCTTTTCAGTCAGCAGTTCATTGACTAATGGAATACTAGTGAACCAGTTATCTCCTGTGATGTTTCTATTTGTACCCTGAAGTGGTTCCACCATCCTCATCACAATATCTTTGGCATTGTTACTTTGCTGATATGGACCTGGAGGTTGCAATCCATCATACGTTTCCAGTTTCATAGTATAAGCTGTTTTAGCATCAACCAAAAAAAATGTTTAATGCCATATTTACTTGGCTTATTGGGGATGTACTGGCGGAAACCTGCACGACCTCTAAACGCAAGCAATTGCTCGTCTATAGTTAGATATTCACTCGGTGAGAAATATTTCTCAACATTATTGGTGAATAGTTCAAACACTTCCCTAATTGCTGCCATTTTATCAAGTTCTTTACGCATGTTACGGTCATTGATGTTGTCAAATCTCAAACATCTCAAAAGGAAACGGAACCTTTGTTCACTCATAGTAAGATAACATGATTCAATGTCATTTCCCTTGGAGTTATCCCATAGTAAATGAATATTTTTACGAGAACATCTCATGGTGCCTATAAGGAACAACAATCCAATAAATGCCCTTATTTCTATCTCATCAGTACTCCTTGCATCTCTGTCCCTTGTAAATTCTTGACGTGTTTTCTCTATATAAATATTAGTGCACGCTGTAATTGTTTTGAGAATATTGTCGTCTAAAAAGAGTTCTAAATCTGCTACTTCTGTTTTCACTTCTCGTGCTTTACCTTTGGGTCCTGGTAAATGAATAATAATGTTATGGGACCTTGTTTTCACATTTCTTGGAGGATTCGCTTTTCTCCATTTCGTTATTTTGTCCTTCCCAATGTAAAAACTAGAAGAATCTAAAGGCACGTCTTCGTCACTTTCAACTTCTTCACTTTCCGCAACCTCTTGTTCCGATTCTGTATTATGCTCACTCTCTGTCAGTATATTTTCTTCCTCTTTGTCACTTTCATCTTCATCCTTAGAGATTTCACTCAGATCACTTTCATCACTTAGTTCATGGTACCACTTCAGCCATACATTGGGATCATTACTGGTCTCTACTTTTCTTTTTTTCTGTTCAGACATGGCCTTGCTACTACTTCCAAATACCTAAAGCAAAAATACCTTAGCATAGGGAGAAAAAACATTAAAAATTGAATTACCTTTGCCACAGTACAACAACACCTTAATAATAATTTTACAACGTAGAACGTCGCGCGGGGGACACTTGTCAACCACACAGCTTTGGTCAGCGATATCTCCACTAAACACGCACAAGCCGTACTAAATATTTGACGGCACAGACATCTATCATAACATGAAAGATACTCGGAGCGATGTTGCCAAGTGAGCTGAAACATTTAAATAGTGGCATATTAAATGAAAGTGGGTGACGATTGTCACCCGCGCGACTGACCTAGGGTTAAGGAAAACCCCAACATGGCCGACACCCTGTATATACTGAGAACCAAATTTGTCTGACGGCTTGAGCTCAATGTGTACGAGAGAGAAGTGTGTGTAGACACATATGTTAGAAAGAGCCGGTTGGATAGCGAAGCTCATTACCGCGTTGCCTAGCAACTCTGTGACTGCAGCGGTGTCGCAAAATGTAACAATAACTCAGGATGCGTTGGTTTTGTCAGGTGGAAATTAAAGATAAATCTAAAAGAAATTAAGACACTAAGTTACATCAAAAACAATCAACAAGTTAAATTAAATGTTCGAAAAGACCCCCTTTGACAGTATCTAACCTAACCTATTGTAGCAGCCTGTGCGAACATTTTCTGGTGTAGTAAATTCGCAACGCGGCAGATTGCACGACCTTCTGCGTCACCGTTGCTAGGCAATGTGGTAATGACCTTTGCTCTTAGTCGGTTTCTATTTCTTTCTAACATGTATTGATACACACTTCTCGCGCTTCTCTCTCGTACACAAGCCATCAGATAAATTTGGTTTTCCCAGTATACGCCCTTTATATAGGGTCTATAACAGCCGATCAGAATAGTTTTGAAAATTGATCGTTAGAAATACTCGAGCGCATGAGACTAAAATTAGCTGAAATTTGACGATTTGAGTATGACGTAAGAGAATGGAAGGGCCACGAACTACCAAAAAAAAAGTCGCCTTGACATTTTCGAGCGCAGTCGAGGTGAGCATTCAAGAATAAGGGAATTTACATATACACATATAATGTGCATCAAGCCGAAATATAAAGAAATATCATTAAAGATTAGTGCGTGCAATCGTAGTAGAGCATGTATTGCCCACTGCTGGGCTTTCTGGCTGTTAACTATTCTACACTAATTTCTGTTGTTATGATGCCTCAACAACATTCTAACGTCAACCATGAGTGATGTAAGAGCGTGCTATTTTTTTTAGAACCGACGTGTAGTAGTTTTGTTTACAAACGCGGCCAGCGCCTAGATTAAGTTCTGATCCGCATCCTCCGTGTTTACGTTTAATATGATCGATGTGCAGGACCGGAATAAGTTTTGTTTAGGTTTGATTGATTTTGCAGAGCCTAAAATCTCGGCAATCTTAAGAATGTGTATATGTTACTAGAAAAAAGGATGCTTATTTTTCCAAGATCTGTATGTCGTGTAAAGGAAAGTCCCAACTCTGAGTACCACTATATAGACTATAAAATACACTACGACAATGAGTGATAATTCTATAAAGTGTGTATGCTGACTGACAAAAAAAGGTAAACACCTACGTATATTTATTAGAATTCAAGAATGTTTTACATATCGATTTTTCTTGACTTGAATAACAAATGATAAAATGGTCAGGTTTTTTCGTTCGGTTTTTCTGGTGACTGCGTGTATTGTTTGGTGATAAAGAAGCATTCAGTTTTCGTACATTTACGGGGGATCCGGATGTCCCAGAGGGACCGCAGAGCGACAAGAAGATAAGAAAATGATCATGCGGAGAAAGGCATATAACAAAAAGTAGGAAAATAATGGGCAAAATTCGAGCAGAAAATAGGATAGGTAACGCGAGCGATACGTATTTCTGCTGGCCAACCAGTGGATTGATCTATATTCTATACAGTAGCAAGATCCGAATTCTGCCGTTTGTAAGTAATGCATCGATAATTTGTTTAAGTTCTATGCAACTTTTCTGTGTGCTTATCTTAGAAATAAAAACATTTATTATTATTACTATATTCAAATATTAATGTTAAACTACAAGGTGTGCGTAACATTACAAAGTAAACATTGCATGATTAAAAAAATACCGTTATTTATTTTTATAATTTTCTTAATTAAAAGAAAATGGTTTAGTTTTGGATACATTCCTCTAACAGTAGTTACAAATAATACGATCCTCATTGTTGCAAATCCCAGCAAACGGTGATCGAGCCTAATCACTAACGATGCTGATGAATCGCTATCTTCATTTTAGCTGACAAGTGTTCGTTATGAAGACATGAAACGTATTTAATTATGTGTCTAATGATCCTGCTTTTATGTATGAGACTCGACTCAGATTAGCGGAGCAATAATAGGGAAAAATGCTACTGTAACTAGCGAGGAACAGGAGATATTCAGACAGATATCGCTTCGAACAACTGTGCGGAAATTTCAAGGATATGCTGATATTTGCAGTCCTCTCTTTTGTTAACACATCTTGAATACTAACGGTCTCGATATCATAGAAGGTTTATGAGTCATAGACTAAGTGACATATAAATCCGAACACCCAGTTTAAATGGTTTTATTTTAATAAAATTTTGTATAAGTACTTAATGAAGCATAATAAGTAAATCATAAAAATTTCAAAATGATTGCACTGCTTTAAAGCCCTTTGACCTTTAATAATGTGTGGATGCACCCTGATGTGCTACGCATTCTCCAACACGCCTAGGCATGCTTCTGATCAGGTGGTCAATGTCCTCCAGTGGTATCTCATTCCAGGCAACCACCAAATCCCCTGGAAGTGCTTCTAGAGTCTGAGGAGGACGTTACAAATTGAGCAATCTCCTACCCATCATATCCCACACGTGCTCAATTGGGGATAAGTCGGGAGATCTTGGTGGCCATGGTAACAATGTGACATCATTATGTTGAAAGAAGTCTATTGTGACTCTTGCAACATGTGGTCGGGCATTATCTTGTTGGAAAGTTGGATCTGCCAGGGTGTCAAGATAGGGTAAAAGATGGGGTTCTAGAACTTCGTGGATATAACGCTGCGCGTTCATGTTACCTCTGATGAAGATTAAAGGTGACCTGGAACCATAAGCTATAGCACCCCAAACCATAACTACAACAGTGTGATGAACATGTCTTTCAACAAAAAACTGTGGATTCCTCCTTTCACCACGTCGCCTTCTAACCCTGGCACGACCATCGTGCATGCCCAAACAAAATCGAGACTCACCACTAAAGATAATACTGTTCCATTCCTGATCCCAGAGTGACCGTTGTCCGCACCACTCAAGGCGATTACGTCGGTGTTCTCGAGTTAAAGGGAGGACCCAGTGTGGCCGGTATGAAAACAAGCCAAAACTTCTCATTCGTCGGTAAACACTTCGCATGCCAATAGGTCTTCCGTGTTCTGCAAACCATTCATTTGCAATGGACCTGGTAGTGGAGAAACGGTCCCTTAAGGCCAATAATCTTAGGCGGCGATCTTCACGGTCTGTTGTTCTACGGCGGCGTCCAGTGCTCCTTGCTCTTTGCGTACGGCCTTCTCGAATCCATGCCTGACAACACCTAACCACAGTGTCTACACTTCTTTGCACTCTAACTGCAATTGCCCGAAAAGAAAGTCCAGCTTCCCGAAGTCCCACTATACGGCCCCTATCAAACTCACTAAGTTGACGAAATCGTACAGGTCTCCATAGTCTAGGCATCGTAACCGATCGTAAAGGATGTGAAGAATCAAAATCCGCCAACGTTGATTCTTTACTGCGGCTGAAATATTCATTTTTAGAGCGTTAGTGAATTAAAAAAAAGCAGTATAAAAACCCGAATGTCCAACTGATAAGGCTGAAAATTTGTTCACTTGTTATTTACAGTAAGATATATACATTCACCAACTTTTATTAAAATAAAACCATTTAAACTGGGTGTTCGGATTTATATGTCACTTAGTATATATGAGGATGATATGAGTATATTTCTCAACAGTTCCGATTAAATGGAATATCAATAATCTACATCTAAGTGAGTACTTTTATTTTTCACTATAAGCAATGGCTAATCGCAAACATTTCTGGAATTATGAGAATCTATTGCGCATAATCAGAACGTTTCTGCCAAAAAGTGTGAACCTGCATAAAGCTATAGGTTCTAGAGTACGTCACACGGGTTACGTAAAAAAACCTCAAAAAAAAACCTATGAAAAGTCATCTTGCAGACATTAGAGTGTAGACAGTCATTCCACGTTTAATCACTAGGATCGTTGTAAGCGCCCATCTGAGGAGGAATGACACAACTAAACTACACGCATTGTTGGATGCATATGTTTTGTGAAGCCGAGTGGTCTGCAGTTTTCATCTCTGAGAAGAAAGTTGGTTGAATCGCAAGATCGCATCTGGATGATTGTGTTTTTTTTTCTGCATGTGTATAAAATCAGTGATACCTGCTGTGTGAGAAAATCATCACTGAATATGCTGCCAATGAAGGATATCTACTACCAGTGCCCGACGAGTTATTTGTTTTGTGCTTTCTGAAGAGAGGTTATGTTCAAAGTTATAAATTTCGAAAATCTTTGAGGACAATTACGGGAAATCACCACCGCGCCTGCTTGGTCTGTAGTTACTGTTAGCATGTGCATGGCTTGTAATTCGACAGTGTACAGTGAATATAATTATTTCTTATCTGTCATTTTTGAAATTCATCAAATTTGCATATGTAATTTCCAGAATGGATAAGTGGATGCGCCACTAATTTCTAGCTTTGGACCTCAAGTAAGTGTATTTGGAACAAGAATTCAATGAAATTATCATCAACACATACAACTTACATTAGACCTCCAGTAATGCCATCTCTGAAGCAGATTTTACATCACATCAGAGCCAAACATTGATAACTGAAGCCTCATGATGTTTAGGCAACACATACAACTAAGTGCTAAGTAAAAATCTTGTAGAAAAACCTACATAATGTCAAAAAATCAGTATAATGTCAAAAAAATCGATATAACGTCACTTTTCAAGAGACGTAATACCCGTGCCGTACTTAGAATGTGGCCTTCCTCTGTTATAGAGATTAGACTATTATCTTATGCAAAGAGCATAACTTTTATCCTCTAACACTAACACTTTGCCATGAAATGTGCGGTCGCGTGCTAGATATTCAGATTAAAAGGAAAGTAAAATCCTATTGGCTGACTCCATCGGCCGGAAGTATATGAGATTTTTCTGTAAATTTATGTAAACAGTTGAGGTCACCGTACCTCAGTATTTATGCTTTGTCTTTGCAAAGACGTCAGTATGCAGGGTGATTCACAAGTTCCTGATCGGCAAAACAATTGTGAATCTTCAAGGGGTACAGTAAAAGTGAGACAGAAGGGGTCTCGCACTTTCCCCTAAGTATTCAGTGGAGAATTTAAGCGTGATCTTAAAAGTCAAATCAAGGTTAAGAACATCTTTCAAGTCAATACTTATACTTACCACAAAATTCTATGTTCATATATGACCTTGGATGTAAATTGTTTTGAACCTGTACGTCTTGGTCAAGGTCATCTTAAAAATCACCCAATTGAAGAGATTTCAGGGATCTACTTGAAGATTGAACTAAAATAAGGACTCAGTGGTAATTTTGATTTAAGAGTGAAGAAGATCTTGAAGAAGATATCAAGGGTAGGACAATCTTTTAAGTTGGACTGAGTACCTTAGATTGAAATGATTCTAAGCTGAACGTCCTCCCCGAGGTCATCGTAAAAACCCCGTTTGAAGAGATCCGAGAGATATTCTTGAAGATAGAACTAAAATAAGTACCCTGAGCCAACAGCCCTAACTATTCACTAGCGATTTTGAAACTGACTTCGGTTATATCAATGTCAAATCAAGGTCTAGACAGCTTTTTACAAACACCACATGCTTTTGACCTCGAAAATTGATAGAGCGAAAAATTTCACGATCAGACATGACCGTCATTGAAAGTTGATCTTGATCTTGAACATCCTGGTCAAGGACATCGTAAAAAGCGGTCTTCTTAAAGATGATTCAAAAATAATGGCCAAAGGCAGCAGGAGCTTCATCTTTTTCTTTGACTACTAACTGGTGTCTTTGAATCTGGCCTTGATTATGACCTTGAATGTCAAATTAAGGTCTGGACAATTTTTTGCATACACCTCATACTTTTGATCTCAAAAATTGATACAGGGGTTTTGGATTTTTGATCACAGAAATATAGTGGAGAGTCTTACCTTCAGGCATGACGTTTAGTGTAAGTTGTTTTGACCTATAACACTCTAGCCAAGTTCATCGTAAATAAACCCTTGAAATTATTTCAGAGATCTTTTTAAGGATAAGAAGTCAATGGCATCATGGGCTCGCATTTTCCTGACTATTCACAGGTGACCTGCAAACTGACATTGACCGTAAGCTTGAGGGTTAAATCAAAAACAAGTTAATTTTCTTGGATGGTATCCAATAGCTTTGATCCTGGAAACGGATACAGCAAACATTTTTACTTTCAGATACGACCTTCTTCCACGATTATAGGTGAACGTATAATTTTTTGCTCTATCGGTTTTTGAGGTCATAAGTTTAGTGTTTCGTTTAAAAAAATAGCCTTGATCTTGATTTAACCTTTTAGGTATTGCGCAAGGTCAGATTCAGGGTCATCAATGAATAGCAACAGAAAAATCCTAACTATTTTATTTTACAAGCTTTTATTCAACTGAACCAGTTTGTTAGTATGTGTGGGACAAATCTTGTAACTGAATTTGGAATCAGTTAACCCTAATCTATCAAGCTGAAATTTTATACATCAGTTTCGATTGAGCGACAAGGAATTAAATGCCGCCATTTTGAATCCAAAATGGCGATTAATCATTTCCAGAGTAACCCCTATGATGTGGGTATCAAACGAAAGGGCTCGATGAGAGAAAAACAATAAGCAAAATTTTATTTTATTATAAATCTAATATGGGGGCCGCCGCAAAATTTTTTCACAGTCACCTCTATGATATTGAGTATTGAAGGGCTTGATGAGAGAAACAAAATAAACATAGCGATGTAATTCTAACACTAATATGGCAGACACCTCAACATTGCGATTTACATTTTTAAAATACGATAGCAAAGAAGTCTTTTTAAATTCCATACGGTGATCGCAGCAGAATATCGATTTATTATTACATGATTATATGTATATAACGAAATTTTATGATACAAATAAAGTAAGCAGCTCCATGTAGTTCTATCAATAAATTTTAAATTTATATGGAAATCACAAAACTAATGACTAACAGCTATATAAAAGATTGTTTTTAAAAATGTAGTTTCTTATTTTATTTATTTGCCTTTCCCCTTTGGATATTTCCAAATACCTTGCCGTACCGGGACATTTGAGCAACTCTGTATAATATTGTATATACAAAAGTAGTTAAAGTCTTATTTGCCCAACTATTTGTTATTTTGCATTCTTCAACTGCATCAGTGCTTTGTATTGAAGTAGCAAGATTCTTGTGGCCATACCTACCGTTAGTCTTCATTTGTTATTTGCACTCTACCTAAAGCCCACATATATGTGTATATGCAAATGCCCGTAAGCTTGAACAATTAGAAGATTTAGCAGACGCAGAAGATCTAGCAGACCTCACAGATGCAACTGACGCACCGCCAAGCCGCAGCATATCTAATAAAATGCAGCAGCTAGTACGTGCTAACCGATAATCTATGTATTATTTTTTTTGGACCACTCGACAGGATTCGATGCATGCTCATTGAACCAAAAATATCTAGCATAGCCATTAGAGGCTTTATTCTGAACTGGGCTATAAGCTTCTTATCAAACAGATAACTAAAAACAAAAGTCAATGGTCGATTGACAAACTCGTTTGCCATGAATATGGGTACCGCACAAGGTTCTGTTCTAGAACCGCTACCCTTCATCATCAGTGATCTGGAGTTGTCAGGTGTCACAGTCAACTATGCAGCTGACACATCTGTCGTTGTCAGTGATTCAACACAAAATGCAATATTGCAATCCATTCATAAAGTTGAATATGAAATGAGTGAGTGCAGCCACTCAAACTTCTGATTCCAAAGACTGTACTGGTTCATTTTTATGACATTTAACAACGCATCCGAAATGATATTTTCTTTGCTGGAAGAATTTTTTGGGTAACTCATATTGACTGAAAGTTAAGCTGGGAACCACAAATCGGTCATATCTGCAAAACAATAATCATTGCCTAATTTGCAATCTCAAAAATGAAACCTAACCTAAACCAATCAGTTTTTTTGACATATATTTCATCTTGGTTTATTCCCATCTTTGCAACAGTATCATTGTTTGGGGTCAAGGAACAGCGATTAACAGAGTATTCATTTTGAAGGAAAGAGTACTTCGATTGATTTTCAATATTGATAGGAGAGATTCTTGAAAAGGTATCTTTAAGCAAAACAATCTGTTATTAACATCCATTTACGTTTTCAAATGTGGCACTTTCGCATTTGAACATCGAAATGAATTCAGCTTAAGCAATGCTACAAAAAATGTACATTACATAACTCATCCCTCTTTAAAAAATCTCTTTTGCTAGATTGTATAAAAATTTATAACAATCTGCCAATCGAGTTACGAAGAAGTAGGAATGTTTTTGCCCTGAAGAAACATCTAAGAAAATATCTAGTAGAAAATTGTTTTAATCCTAGATAAGAATTTGTAATGTAAATATTACTGATTATTTTTTTTTATTGAGCTTTTTCAATATTTTTAATGCGTTAATATAATATTTTCTTTTTTTTAGAATATTTGTTTATTAATATGTACGCATTACATTTCAAATATCCATGTTTTTCTTTTTTTATGTAAATTTAGTACTTTTCAGTGTACAAATGTATTGAATGGCTGGGTTTATTTAGACTACTTGTATTATGTATAAGAAAATAATAATAATAATTCAAAGATACGGATTCGATCATTTTGTTTTTAATTTGATTAAGTAGATTACGGACCAGTGTTACATTACGGTATTCAAGAATTATATTAAAGGTCTAAAAACTTTGGTTGGATTTGCTTATACTATTTCATTTGATTCTGATAGAGGAAAGAATATTACAGTCATTGGTTTCTTCACCCTACCCACATACAAACATGTATAAGCTAAAATAACTAATGGTTATTAATAGTTAATCAAACATTTTTATTTTATTTGATTTTGAATTTGGTAACTTTTTTTTAATTTCATCAAGAAATATATAATGGATGCATTTCATTTCTCGTTATAAGTGTCTTCCTTTTTACTATACTATACGTAAAAAGTCACTAAGTTCGCGACTTAGCAGCGTGTGCCTATCTTCGAAAATCGTTGACAATTCTTCTCAAAATTCGATGTAATTTTCAGCAAGTTGCTCCGCTGTATAGTATCAGATATACTGTGGCCAGGCCGCCACACGCAAACGCTTATCTTTTAGGAAACATTTTTCAGAGCTTCCATTCCTTTGGGTGGGAACGACTGGAGACGCCACAATAAATAAGTGAGAGTACTTCGTTTTCTCACGCTCGTATTGCAAACCTTGTACATGGTGTCTAAAATAACATATGTCATGTTTGTTGAGGCATTTTTAGATTCTATTTCCAAATAAAAACAAACAATTTCTTGGAATACTTCTACATATGCAAGAAGTGTAAGAAGTGCCAAAAATTTCCGTGACCTTTTCGTGTAACCAATTGTCATTTTTATTTTTTGTGTAACATTTTTTTGAAAAATGAACATAAGGACTTTGAGGGTTCCCTGTTCCTAATGTGCGCTTGGTTACAGTTTATAGAAATGCTAAAGTGACTTAGGAGTAGTAGGATTTTAAGACTCGCGAATTTATCCTTGAGTGAGACCTTGAAGGTCAAGTCAAGGTCACCAAGATATTTTTGACTGGGACCCTATACGTATGATCCCGAAAACCAATATAGCGGGAAATAATACGTTGGGATATGACCTTGAATGGAAATTATTTTGATCTTGATCATCTTTCGTCAAGGATATTTCTGAAAGTAAAATTTTCTGATCTGTACCTTTTAGTTCTTCTGATTTGTTGGGATATAAAGTATATTTTTTCAAAATGACAACGTTCCGGCGTTTATTTGGCACGTCAGAGGTAACAAACATTCCTGATGTTATTTATAAAATAACGAAAATGATATATAGGAAATAAAAAAAAAACAAATGGATGCCAGTTCATACTATAATGCAGCATTGGTTTGTTTGTTATCTCTTAATATATGTTTTTGTCTTTCATTCAGCGACTGAAGGAGGTGTCAAATAAACGCCAAAACATTGGTACTTTGAAAAAAGATACTTTATAACACCTCTGTTATATATAATAATAATAAATCAGAAAAATTAAAAAGTGCATAGCAAAGACTGGGATAGGAATTTATTTGTTCATTTTCCGCGCTGTCCATTTCTGTCAAAAGAATAGGATGCCATTCAGGAAAACTGCCCTGATCTTGATTTAATCATCAAGGTCATGGTCAAAGTCAGATTTAAGGTCACCTGTGCATGGCGGGGGAGAATTTTAAACCTTGCTATCTTTGAGTCCTCATCGCTTTATCCCTTAAACATTTTTACACGACGCGACGGTTTGTTTACGGTGAACTTGACCAGTGCCATGAAGATTAAAACAATTTTCACCAAACATCATTTCTGTGTGAAATTTACCGCTCTATTTATACAAGTGACAAAAAAGGTAAACATCTACGTATGTTTATTAGAATTTAATAATTTTTGGTATACCCCTTTTAAAGTCACTTTGCTGGCGAAATCTACGCACTCTAGGCATTTTGAGCAATCATAAAAAGGCTTCTCAATAGGCTACACATAATTTAACATTTAATTGACACCGTAAATCTACGAAAACTGAATGCTTCTTTATCACCAAACGATACACGCAGCGACCACAAAAATTTAACAGAAAAACCTGACCATTTTATCACTTGTTGTTCATGGCAAGATAAATCGATATGTGAAAAATGGTGGAGCTGCAAGTCGTCAAATGACCAAGATTTTTCAGACATTCACTAAATACCTAAACAATTGACAATCGAAACCATATTTTATATGGTATCGAACTTCTTGTTTTCAGAAGCTCTATCTAAATATGCAACAAGATGTAGAGTATTCTCTTAAAAAAGTATATGTTTGCTATGTCACGAACATATGAAACATCCTGTAAACCAGATTCCTGATATCCTTACCAGTTTGCTCATAAAACTAGTCTTCACTTTCGGGAAGCAGCTCGTCTTACTATCCAGCGATACAGCAAATATTGTCACTATAAAATCAATTCACAACTTCCCTTTAACTATTTCTATTCAAATAAAACCATTTTTACTGAGTGTCCTATTTTATTTATTACTGAGTACCTTCTATATAATCATTATCTTTCGTTTGATTCTCTAATTTTATTCAGTTCTACAAGCAACTATTTTGTTATCGTAATTGTAATGTTTCGCTATTTTACTCTACGTGACTGGGCAAAATGGGCTCTTAATACCTTATGCCCAGTCACAGGCTGCGACTATGATGAAAGCTGTTACAAGTGCCCACGCACCAGCTTATTACGCATCATAAAAACTAATTTGGCTGTCTCTGGATGGCCGATTCGACAAATTTATTGGGGTAGCCGTGGAAAGAAAAAACAACTGCCGCATCTCATCTGCTGGGCAGGCCAATCAACTTTGGAAAATTCATCTGGGTATATCCTAAATCCAATCAAAGCTGTCCGGATTTTAGATATATGTACATGAATTATAAACTTACTTTAATTATTTTTATTTTATGAAGTTTATATTTATGTTGCTGTATTCAAAGTTGAAAAAATGCGCTGGTATGTGATAGCTAGTGTTGCAATAGCTGCTTCAATTTCATGTCTAGGATACAGATCGAAGAGCTTAGAAAATATACCATAGGAGTAGGATTACCGACCGAAATATCTGGGCAAAATTCTTAAAAGTCGGGATTTTGGGATAAAGTCAAGACAAATAAATATTACGAAAGATAAATTTATTTTTTATTAATAAAATTAAAGTTATCACAACAAAATACTTTTTTGGCAAGTTATGAGATTACAGATAAAACATATGAGATCAAAATATGAGACAACTAAAACTTGTCTATTTTTTACTTTACTCCAAGTGTTTGGTATATGAGCTCACCGATTCCACCAATTTGGTGCCCTTTATAGTATCCAAAAAAGTTTTTAAATCCAAAAGAATTTCTTCAAAGTTCAATCTTAATAATTGTTCGGCTTCAATTAAATAAATTGTCATTCTATTTTTATTTTAGGAAATCAACAAACATATCATATTAGTAAGTAACTAGGCTCGTTCGTCGTCAATGCTTGAGTTAGTATGCACAATTATACCTTGAATAATATGCTCTCCGTCAATTTTAAATTTGTGTTTTGGTATTTGTCGTGACAATTTGTATTTTTCCGGGACTCACGACATCATATGCAATTTCGTGACAATCCCGACCATCTGGTAACTCTA